TTTAAAATGTTATAACCTTTTGTTTTATAATAAAACAATTGTTTCAGTTCATAAAAGCTTATCCAAAATAAAATAATATTACTTTATTAATATTTCAAAAATTGAGAAGTTGGAGATTTAAAAAATAAATCAATTTATCGAATTAGTTTAAATAATTATGACAAATTTAACAGTTATCTATTTCAAATCTTTATAAACATTTATTTTGCCATAGTACAATTGTTTTTCATCATATAAGCCTATTCAAAATATAATACTAATTTATTAATATTTCAAAAATTAATAAGTAGGAGATTTAAAAAATAAATCTGTTTACTAAACTAGTTCAAATAGTTATGACTATTTGAACAATTATATATTTCAAATCCTTATGACCTTTTATTTTGTCATAAAATAATTATTTATATTTATACAAGCTTATTCGAAATAAAATAATACTAATCTAATAATATTAAGAAAGTTAATAACTAAGATATTTAAAAAATAAATTTGTTTGCCAAATCAATTCAAATAGTTAAGGCTATATGAATAATTATCTATTTCAAATCCTTATGACCTTTTGTTTGTCGTAAAACAAATGTTTTTGTTCATATAAGTTTGTTCAAAATAAAATAATATTAATTTATTAATATTTTAAAAATTAATAAGAGATTTAAAAAAATAAATCTATTTACCAAACCAGTTTAATTATTTATAATAATTTGAACAATTATTTGTTTCAAATCATGATGACCATTTGTTTTGTCATAAAATAATTTTTTTCTATTGATATAGTCTTATTCGGAATAAAGTAATGCTAATTTATTAATATTTTAAAAATTAATAAATAACAAATTTAGAAAATGAATCTATTGGCTTTACTAATGTAAATAGTTTTGACTATTTGAACAATTATCTATTTCAAATCATTATGACCTTTTGTTTTATCACAAAACAATTGTTTTATTCCAACAAGCTTATTTGGAATAACATAAATTTAATTTATTAATATTTCAAAAATTAATAAGTAAGAGATTTAAAAATTGAATCTGTTTATCAAACAAGTTTAAATAGTTATGACTATTTGAGTGATTGCCTTTTCAAATTGCTATAATATTTTGTTTTGTCATAAAAAAAGTTTTTCTATTTGTACAAGCTTATTTCAATTAAAATAATACAAATTTATTAATATTCAAATAATTAATAAGTAAAAGATTTAAAAAACAACTCTATTTACCGAATAAATTCAAATAGTTATGATTATTTTGATCAATGATTTATTTCAAATCGTTATGACTTTTTATTTTTATCATAAAACAATTGTTTTTGTTCATATAAGCTTATTTGGATTAAAATAATATTAATTTATTAATATTTCGACAATTAATAAGTACAAGATTTTAAAAATAAATATGTTTACTGAACAAATTTAAATAGTCATAACTATTTGAATAATTATCTATATCAAATCATTATGACCTGTTGTTTCATCAAAAAAACATTTGTATCAGTTCATATAGGCTTATTCAAAATAAAATAATACTAATTTATTAATATTCTAAAAATTAATGAGGAAGATATTTAAAAAATGAATCTATTTACTAAATAAATTCGAATAGTTATGACTATTTGAATAATTTTTTATTTCAAATCGTTATGACATTTTGTTTTGTCATAAAAAAATTTCTTCTATTCATACAAATTTATTGCAAATAAAATAATATAAATTTATTAATATTTCAAAAAATTAATATGTAATAATTTAAAAAATAAATCTATTTTTTGAACACATTCAAATAATTATGACCTTTTGTTTTCTCATAAACCAATTATTTTTATTCATACAAGTATATTCAAAATAAAATAATATTATTTTATTAATATTCCAAAACTTAATAAGATTTAAAAAAATAAATCGATTTACCAAGCAAGTTTAAATAGTTATTATACCTATTTGAATAATTATTAATTTCAAATAGTTATGATATTTTGTTTTGTCATAAAAAAATTATTTTCATTCATAAAAGTTTATTTAGAATAAAATAATATTAATTTATTAATATTATGAAAATTAAAAATAAATCTATTTATCAAACAAGTTAAAATAATCATGTGCATTTAAACAATTATATATTTCAAATTGTTACGATTTTTTACTTTTTAATAAAACAATTTTTTCTTTACAAAAATAACTCATTTTTAACAATGGCATCAAAGTCAAAATCTTACACCGTGAACGAAATTGGGTATCACAAGAAAATTTCGTAAATCAACTTTCCTGTACTAATTCTATTAGTAAAAAAAACTCTTTCATCTACTAATATTACTAGTTACTCGAAGTCCAAAAAAAAAAACAGTTAACGAGACAAGCCCACCGAGAAAGAAGAAGCAGTCTCTGACCTCCCCTCATTGCCGTAAAAGAGTAGCAAAAAAGATGATACTAGATTTTGAGGACCGTTTCACTTGCATGTATCCCTGGATTAAAAGTCACCATCTCAAGATTATAGCTTCCAACAGAAATGAAAATTCTTACCAAGATGGGGAAAATTTTAACTGATCAGTATTTACAAGCCCCGTTACATTTCAAAATCACATAATTTTGCTCCGGACAAAGCATGTATCAACAAACAATTTCTACAAATAAGAAATATAGTTTTTTAATTTTAATTTTTGGTCTTTTTTTCATAAAAAGATGAAGCACTCTAAGGAGACAAGAGGATTCTCAAATGACTCAGTGCCCTGCTGCTGTTCCAACACGTCGCCATTTCATCTTTCTGTCTCTCACTCTGGCCCTTCACTGTTGCGGTACCAACTAGCTTGCTATCCGTTTTTTTGGTCACCATCGTAGGACTCTTCCCGACGGCACCCTTACCCAGTCCACCGGCTCTTCCGGTTCCCGCTGACCTGGACCTGGACCCCACATTACGCGGCACAGTTTTCACCTCACCTACTCCCCTTCCTCGACCGCGGGCCCTCTTATCAGGTGATGGATCCATTCTTCTGGCTTGAACGCTTGCAGGATCTCCATTGCTTGGACGCTTTTTCATTACCTTTGCTGGGGACTTGTGTTTGACATCGCTGTTCTTTTTGCTCATTGCTTCTTTCAGGCCTTTTGCCCTTGTAGTTGTCGATGAGATGGTTTCCGCCATGCTGTAAATCTCTGAAAGTTGAGAGAGATCGGAGGTTTCTTGCTCTTATTGCTGTTTCTTAATTGGACCGGAAACTTCTGTTTGGGTTTTGGGTGGTGGGGTAAGAGGAGTTTGAATAACTTTTTCTTGTTGTTTCTTGTGGAGTGTGGATGTTTCTGAAAGCACCAATACTTCTTTTTTCACGGTTACTTCTTCCTCTTGTTCAGGAGGACGTGGAGATTTGTGAGATTGTATCTTGGTGTTAAAACGTGAGAATGCTGATTGTTGCAGGGGTGAAGGAATGAAATTATGACAGAAGCTACGTAAGGAGGGATTTTGATTTTTGTTTGAAAGTTAAACGGCTATGAAAAGTCATACGCAAGCTTTTTGTTTAGTACTACTGGCTGCTAGACTACAAGTAGAGATAGAAATTTGAAAGAGGAAATTGTGTACAGCTATAGCAACAGGACAAAATGACTGGCCTGAGTCCTAACCAAAGCCAAGGATATCCTGGACGTCTATTGGCTAATAGGCAAGCAATCGTGGTGGGTGATTTATGCTTGTCACTAAGGTGTAATTTAGTTCGAATAGAAATAATATTAAGTTTAAATTTAATTTTAACTTTAAATTCATCTTAAATTCAAAATTTGAAATAAAATTTGAGTTTGATTGAATTTATTTTAAGTTTAAATTTAATTTAAGATAAAAATCAAATTATTTGAATTCATTTAATTAAATTTGATTAATATATAAAAATAAATTTAATTTTTATGTTAAATAAAAATTTAATTATTTATACTCGAATTTAAATTTGAATTCAAGATATTTTATTAATTAAAATAATAAAAATATATTTAAATATAAAAATTTAATTAAACTCTTCAATTACTCAAGTCAAATATAAAAATATTTAAACTTAACTTAATAAATAAATCAAACTACTCAAATTCGAGTTTAACTTAATAATAATTAAATAAAATTTAAATTTTATTCGAGTAAAACTCGAATGACTTACGAATATTATTAGTATTCTTTAATTCATTTCATCCTACTATAATATAAAAACAAAAAAAAAAAAAAGTTATACTATTTGTCCATTGGGGTTGGTATACAGAACTTCCGAAGGGGTAATAAAAGGAGATAGATCAAAAGTGATTATTAGGGTTGACAACGGGACGGATTAAAATGAATTTTTGCTTGCTCTAAATTCGATCCGACTAAAAAATTTTTTATTAATTTATATCTGAACTCAATACAACTCGATATTATATAATTTTGTATCTTATTCGATCTGATCTAAAATTAATAAAATATTATTTTTTAAAAAATATAAATATATAATTATATATAATTAAAAAATTAAAAAATAATTTTTAATATAATATCGGGTCGATTGAATTGGATTTATTGAATCTAATTTGATCTCAATTTTTTTAATAATATTCGACCTAATCTTAAATCTGATTTAAAAAAAAATCGACCCAAATCGGATGGGATTGGATCGAAACCGTCGAACTCAAATTGTACTGCCAACCCTGATGATAATTATGTGAAGGGGATGCGTGAAAAGAGGAAACAGTTTATGCTACTTTATATTGAATGGGATTATTAGGCTGGGCAGTACGGAAAGACACTTGAAACTTTGCTTCATATTGTGAAGTTTGGATGCTTGCAATAGCATGCATCCACGGTTGACTAAAGCCCGTTTGTTAAGAGTTTAAAGACACGGCCACCTGCAAGGCTCCTTGTGGAGCCAAAGTTCATCTCAGATAAATGGTTTAAGCAAATATTCTTTTCTCGAAGTTAGCATGCTGCCCCTTCTCTCTTGACGCAAGCAAGAAGCAAAACACGGGTGCTTCTTCTATAGAACCCAATATCAACATTTTTAGGAACAAAACATCCTGACTGCTTCATTTTTCTTTCTGTCCATTGAAACCAAATCGTTAACTGTCTTGGAAAACCCAAACACCAGCCCCACATGAACTATTTGGTTTTAATTGGTTAAGATACGTAGCACGCGGACAGCTGCATCCTACCGTCAAGGGTTGATTGAGGCCCATGCCAGGTCTTGTAACAGGTCGATCAGCAACATTCAATCTATGTGATTGTTTGGCGCACCTTCACTGTCAATTATTATCGAACTAAAGTTAAAAAGGGTTTCACCAAAATTGCTTGGAGAAGGGTCGTGGTGAATTGAACTCTGGGTAAAATGATTGATCAAAATATTGTCTTCTGGCACGTCAGTATCTCCGTGCTAAAAAGCATGCTTATACAAATAAAACCTTGATTGGGAAGTAATAAAACTGCAGCTGATAATTACAACAAATTTAGTAAACAGATATTGCAACGTCAGTCTACCAAAATCTTGGCCAACTCCAAGCAATTCATCCTTTTCATTTTCTTCCAACTAAATTCCCTTGACATTTGCTAAGGCACATTAAGTGGCATGGGCAGTCATTTCACTACCCAAACCGTATCTGATGCATGTCAATGATACCATCCGGAAGAAAATAGGTATATTGTAAAAGAAAAACAATCACCCGAAAAGAAACTATGAAGAAGAAGCAGCCCGATCAGATTCTATCATAGATTTGATGTAGAATTCTCCTGCCTTGTATGATGACCTGACCATGGGACCAGATGCTACATACCGAAATCCCTGATCCATCCAAAGGAGAAATTTAATAAGAAAAATTCAAGCAGATTTACAGTTGGATGAAGGTGAGGAAATAATTCTTGCTTCAACTATGATGATGATTCACTCTTTAAAATGCATTACCACTCCAAGCAATGATCTAAATGATTGATGCAAATGCAATAGTAGCCCCAAAAAATGACTAGTGCAATGGGAAGTTATTAACATGATATTCTGTACATTCATATGATATTAACATGATATTTCAACAGTAACATATTACTAAATGCCATTGATATAGCATAATGGTGTTGAAACAAATAAAATGCCAAACTTTAGGTCTTATTGCAAGATAAAAGGTCAAGGAACCAAAGTAGTAAACAATGGGTTTCTTTGAGCAAGAAATGGCAATACATCAACCATTTGGCTTACACTGAATCTATCTTGAACAAAAATATAGAAGGAAGCAAAAACTTAGCTTGCACAGAGACATAGAACTAAAAGCCACAAAATCACTGAGAGCTGACTGAGAATAAATGAAGTAATAGTACTGCCTACTACGCTTAATCACATATACTCCAAGCAGCAAACATTTTTCAACTACCATTGGAAAGCTATCGAGCAGCCTTGGATGCATAAGAGTACCCATAGTGCCGATCATTAGAACTGATTAACTGTGAGGTCCAATCATGGATAGCTAAGGTGTTTTAAAGGGAGAAAGGAAAAAGAGTTGAGAAATGCAGTTGACAAGGCTAACTTGGCAATTATATTGTCATCGATTTTAACATATTCATTTCTTGATTTTAGATCTTTCTGCGGAAGTACTTAAGGACGATGGGCAAAGCAGCTTAACAAGATCTGCTTAAGGAAGAGTGGCTTTTCTCAACAAGCAATTACAGTCAAGTTAGCCAATGGCAAACTAAAAAGATGTATTTAAAGAAACCAGATAGATGAATTTGTTAGACATTCAACTAATCTGAGCAAATACGGGTATAGTTAACTAGTAAAACTATAAGTTTTAGAAAAATATCACTGTATACCATTTCCATGCCAAGTGTTTGATATTTCTCAAAAGCCTCAGGTGTAATATATTCTGATACAGGCATGTGGCGCTTTGATGGTCTCATATACTGACCAAATGTCATCACATCAACACCGGCCGCTCTCACCTTCTCCATTGTTTTCACAACTTGATCAGGTGTTTCCCCACATCCTAACATTATCGAAGTCTTGGTAAGTGTTCCAGCAGGAGCATAGTCTTTGGCCTTCCTTAGAACATCCAAAGATTGCTTAAAATTAGCACGGTGATCACGTACAACTCTTTGAAGCTCTTCAACAGTCTCAATATTATGAGCAAAAACATCAAGTCCAGATTTTGCAACTTTCTCTATGCAACCAGCATCTCCCCGAAAATCAGGAACTACACAATTGACAAATAGTGCATGCAACATTAGCTACAAATTCCATCGTAGGAACTCAAACTCAATGAGAAATTCTAAAAATGCAAATGAGCAAGAACAGCCCCTCATTGAATTTTATTCATGCCAACTCTAGCGTGAAAATGAATCTGTACCAATCATAAATGCCAACACTATAAAAGCATTTAATTTCTATAAGACCCTTTTTTTATGGGAAACTTCTATAAGGCCTTTACTTATTATCTAAAAGGAGAAAAGCTTCAAACTTCAATTCAATGTCACCGGGCATGCCAATAAGTTAACAATTATATACAAGTTTAAAAGGTAATTGATACCCAAGGCTTCTATAAGCATATTAGGCTTCAAAGCTTTCAACTTCTGAACCGTTTCCGCAAAATGCCCACTCCCTTGATCAGCTAAATCATCCCGGTCCACGCTCGTAATCACCACGTAATCCAAACCCCACGACGCAATTGCGTCCGCAACATTCCCTGGTTCATTGGGATCCGGAGGAGGCGGCGTCCGCGATGTCTTCACATTGCAAAACCTGAAAACGACCGAAAATTTTGAATTTAAATATTTCCTAATTACAAATTTATTTTTTACTTGCTTAAAAAAAATACCTGCAACCGCGAGTACAAGTATCACCCAGGATCATGATAGTGGCAGTTGCGGTCCCAGTCTCACCACCGGACCAACACTCGCCAAGATTGGGGCATCGAGCTTCTTCGCAGACGGTGTGGAGTTTTAATTCCCTTAACTTGTTTTTAATCTGAACGTATTTTTCACCGCCTGGAATGGATTCTCTCATCCATTTGGGTTTAGGGAGTGGTTTTTTCTTCGTCCCGACTTCCACGGAATACTGGCTATCTTTTTGGAGATCGACGAAATCGGAGATGGTGGGCGATTCCACAGCTAGGCGGGCCCGGAGGCCGGCTAGGGTGGGAGGGAAATCGGGTTTGGTGATAGGTGAGTCGATCGTGGATGAGATGAGTCTTGACTTTGTGGCAGATGAGATGGTGCGAGCTAGGGTGGTAAAGCGGTATTGCATCATTTCTTCTCTCTCTCTCTCTCTCTCTCTCTCTCTGTGTTGTTGTTGTCCGCGGACGAGATAAAAGGTGGGCGAGGAGAGATGAGAGATGAGGTAATTGGTGGTTTGGTAACGGTGCTGATCATTGGTCAGCATCTTTCGGGATACTTGGGCCTCTACATAATAGAATGGGCTGCCCACTCCTCTAGACTGGACTGTGCTGTTTTTGAGCTTTTAGAAGGCTCCTTATGTTCGGGGAAAGGATTGAAAATCTTCCGTAGTTGTCTTGCAATCAAAAGAAAGGTACCTACCTCGTCAAGAATGTTGCAAAATTGAAAATTATACAAGATAGAATTGAATGATTATGCAAAAATGGAAATATAATTAGTGCTCCTTCTGTTCCAAATAATTTGAATGTTATTGATTTTTACGAAATTTTTAAAAAAAAAAATTAATTTAATGTATTTAATATTAAATTTTAAATTTTTTTATAAAATTAAAGTTTTATAATTTTTAATATAAAAAGTAAAAAATATATTAAAAAATAGGTTTAAAATATTAAAAAAAATAGATGTTAAAAAAACATAATTTTAAGATATTTTTAAAAATTAGATAATAAATAGAAAAAAGGGAGTGTTTACTTGTGAAATGGCTTACTTCATGTTTTTTTGTCTTGATATCTGTTTATCCTATAAGTACGACCATTCTTATACCTTTTTTTTTTTCTTTCCGATGAATGAAATGAATTATGATATGAAATAGGAACATGTCCATCCAATGGCAGTGTTAAGAGTATGCATATGAAATGGTGGCGTTATTATTATCCTTTCTTATAAAATCAAAACGTTTATATGATATAAGATTGGATCACTTTTTTTTTTTTGTTTAAATTTTTTTGAAGCATTTGGTTTGATATTTTTTTAATTTAATCTCGTGACATTTTTATCACGACAATTCATTCTGTCCACCCTTGAAGTTCTTGACGCGGTTTACAATTAGCCCACCTTATTTAACTATCGGCACTTTGGTTTGGAGTTGGATAGTTTTAGAGTAGGTTTTTTTTTTTTTTTTTTTTTAATATCATTTATCATATGACTTTTATTCTTTCATTACATAATTGATTTATTAAAGTGTATAACGCTGGTATTTATTTATCCAAAACCTTTCCTTTCTTAGTTGAATTATGATTAAAGCATCCTTTTTATTCCTCTTAAAACACTTACCATGGTATAATCGTAAATCGTAAATCATAAATCATTTATGCGATATAAGTAAGTTTTCCTTTTTTTACCACTTGCTTCAGTCTTAATCCTCAAACTCAACCGTAGCTTATAAATAAGAATGAGATCCTAAAATTTCAAAATCTTAAATTTAGGTTTTATTGTGCATAAATTAAATTTAATTTTGTGTTAAATTTATCTGATTATGTTCTAATTAGTTAATTTAATTATTCATATATAAATATAATATTTAATTATAATTATAATTTATACTTAAAATTTTATAAAAAAAAATCTCAAAATCTCAGCAAATGGTCAACCGACGCATATTAGAAATAATCTGAATTTAATTGAGATTTTATTATAATTAAATGGAAGGTAGTAAACTATGCAAGATACGAAACCCTTATTTAAAAGCATATGATGACTTGGAAATGAATCCAAAGTTTCATTTGTTTCATGAAAAATAATTTTTGTATTTTTATGTGTTTGTTTGATGAAAAATTACAAATCAATAAAAAATAATTTTTTGATTAATGAAAAATAAAATTATTTTTTTAAATTATCCTATAAATTTGAAAAAGGAAAGATATTTTTCGAAAAAACTATCTATGAATAGAGCTATTTATCAATACTTTTAAGCATAATTTTATTTATAAATAATATTATATTAATAAATAATATTATACAAATAAATAATATACTATTAATAAATAATATTATAATATATTAATAAACAATATTATATTAATAAATCATATATTAATAAATAATATAGTAATAAATATTATTAATTTAAATTATTAAATATTATAATAATATATTAATATATTAATAAATAATATAAAGAATAATAAATAGTTTTATTTTAAGTGTTTTTATATTAACATAATATTTTAATATTAAATATTTTTATTAAAATATAATTATTTTTTAATATTCATAATTTTACTAATATATAAATTCAATATATTTTAATAATAAATAATCTAATATATATATATTATATAGCAACATATATAAATAAGTTTGTCACATAGAAGTCTATGTGAATAATTTTCTTAAATGACACATAAGACAAATTTTTAAAAGAATAAGATATTTTCTTTTAATTACAAATTAGATAATTTTAAATTTATTCAAATTATAATTGAAAATCAAATCAATTTAGAAATATATTTTCTAAAATTAAAAATATAAAATATGGATTTTATTTTTTAATAAATAATTTTAGTTGTTTACCAATTAACCTTATTTAAAAAATTATTTAATTATCAAAATCTTTCAAACATGTTTAAAAATTATAAAGATTAAGTTTATCTAAATCTTTCAACAATCTTTTTATCTTGATTTAAAAAATTATCTTTTTAAAAAAATTATATAAAATATTAAAAATTCAAGTATATCTATTTGAATTCTAATTATCAAATTTATACTTCAAATAAATACAAAAAAATTTAATATTATATTTATCACTTATTATATCCATTTTAAATTTTAAAAATTTAATTTAAAAATTATTTATTTAATCCTAATTACCATTAAAAAAATTTTCTACAAATTTAAGACTACAAATGTAATCTAATATATATAAATATATATTATATAATAATATACATACATAAATTTGTCACATGGGCGCCTATGAGAACAACTTTCTTAAATGACACATAGGATAATTTTTTTAAAAATAAGATATTTTCTTTTAATTACAAATTAGATAATTTTAAATTTATTCAAATTATAATTGAAAATCAAATCAATTTAGAGATATATTTTCTAAAATTAAAAATATGAAATATCCATTTTAAATTTTAAAAAATTAATTAAAAAATTATCTATTTAATTCTAATTGCCATTAAAGAATTCTTCTATAAATTTAATATTACAAATGTAATGTATTATACATCAATTTTTTTATTTTTTGAGTAACTTTTCCAAGATATATTCTATTACTATTACAATTTGTTTTTTTTATAACTTTTATCCCATATACATTTTATTGTTATTAACATTTCATTCTTATGAAAAATAATATTTTTTAAATTTATTTTTTCTTTTTTCTCATATTTTGTAACATTGTTCATATTTTGTATAATAATTTAGTCAAAATTATTAAAGTGAAAGTATGTTAATACTTCTTTTATTATTTAATTTATCATTCAATAATATATATTTTTATTTTTTAAAGAAAGGTATAATTTATTTTTATTTAATATAATTTTACAATTGTATAAATATTATTGTAAACCAAAATATCTAAAGGAAAGATATAATTTTTTTTACTATTTTCCAAAAACTTATTTTTTAATTACAAGTCAATATATATAAATTTTATATATGCTATTAATTTTAAAGATTTAAATATAAATTTAAAAGGAAAATAATATTCATATTAAATAAATAAAATTATTTCGTATATTGTACGAGTTATAATCTAATTTTAAATATTTTAATAGTTATATTAATATTATTTGAAAAAAATAAATTTTTCAAAAAATAGCTAAACAATAAAAAATATTTTTCATTAATTTATTCAAATAACAAAAAATATTTTTCAATTAAAAAAATATAAATATTTTTCAAAAATTATTTTTTAAAAATTATTTTCTGTGAATCAAACCGAGTTTAAGTTGGATGGGGAAATAAGAAGTGAAAGGGACAAATGATGAAGGGTTAGCTGAGGGTAGTGAGTGCATTATGATGCACCCTTCAACAGGTAGCTGAATCTGAATCATCCATCCCACACGCTAGATTGCCCATGCCCCTAGCCATTCCACATCTAAGTGTGCTCCTCCTGCCTGCATTCCCTCTCTCTCTCTCTCACAATATATATATATATATATATATATATTCATTTACGATTCCTTTGGAGTAATAATTCAGTTATGATCATTGATTTTGTTTCGAGTTCAAGACCATTGCAGTATTATTATAAAATCAAGTTATTATATAACTCTTTGACAAAAAGAAAAAAAAGTCTCCATGTGGAGAGTTAGATTATGTGAGTATTAGTTATGTAATTTTTTTAATAGATTAGTTATATAAAATTTTAAATCAATTAAAATCGTTATGATTTTAACTGTTGGTGTATCTGTGGTAAAAAATCAAATTTATTGTTCATAATTGAATTGAAAATAAAATGATCGAGGGATATAAAATGATACAAAAAAAATTCATTAAAATGATATAAATATTTTTGATAGAAATAAAAAATTCATTAAAATCAAATTGTAATTACATTACAAAGAAAACTATAAAAATTAATCAATATACTTATAACCTGTTAATAGAATAATAAATTTTTAATTCCAATAACTTCAATTATTAAAAATCAAATTCTAACAACTTCATATAAATATATATATAAATATATAAATCTACCCACAAGTGACTGGTTCCAACTTTTCATTCCAACATTGCTAAGTTACGTACTAGAGAAGTAGCCCTTAAAAAGACAACTAGCACAAGAAGATGATAAAATCCAAAATATCAATTGCCATACTACGGGGGACGGATGCACATAGCAGCTAGTTCCTAAATTTTTTAGGTTTATTAAAACAATCTCAAAAAGTTTTGAAAATTTAAAAGTTTATCGTTTCCAGAAATATTTTTATCAAATTTGTTTCCTCTATATTAAGGCTCATACAAAAAAATATTATATTATTTATTTAGTAATTGAACATTGATATTTTGGGCATTAAACAATGTCGTTATAATATATATTTAAATTTGAAAAAAAAAATACCTTTAGAGAATTTAAAATTATTAAATTTCATTTAATAATTTATTTAAATTGATGTAAAGTGATCTTACAAAGATAATGAGATATAAAACTTTTACTACTCAAATGGTTTTAACTACTTTTTTAACAAAAAAAAAACATTTAATTTACCTAATTAAACCACATTTGAATGGTTTGATTGACCATGACCTTGCAATTGCAGTCAAAAGAGCTCATTTACTGCCATAAATGACCTTCGACCTTTCGGTTCCTTCTATTGTTTTACCCAAACAGA